CGATGGTTTCTCTCTTCGTCGAATATTTCTCAGAGTGGTGCAACAACGGTCACGGAGTGGGGGATGCATTCACTATGCAATGGTGACTATCCCCCTCTACGGCACCGTTCAACGGAGAAGGAAACCGGCGACAAATGCAACACTCTCTGTCCGTTTCGTGCTTTTTTCAATACACAGGAAGGATAGGTAACCCGCAGTCTACGTATTATATGTCCATGGTTTGGCCCTCTTCCCTCTATTCTCTATGGTAAGAGACTGTTGGTAATGCCTGAGATGCGAAAAATGAGAATTTGCGTTGTACTACCAACTTAATGGCTCAAGTCTGACCGTTTTCATTTAGAAGATAATGGAAACGCGAAAAATGTGCAGTTCGTTGCTATGTGCATATCTTCGTAAATATTGAAGGAATTTATTTAATAATTGCATCAGTGGATTGGTGATTTATATAGGGTAACTAAGGATAGTTTTCATCTAAATAGTCGCATTTTTTATAAATTGATGAAAAATCAGTTGAGGGTGTTGTGTATAGATACCCAGTAGCTCTCGTCATTTTGTTGCGAGGTTAACAGGCGCGGCTTGACTGATACGCTAACGCGTATCTTGATTTGTAATCGCGTACTTTCAGTAGCGAAGAGGTAAACCGGGTTAAATCGATTTTGACTTTTAGTCAGTTTTTAATGAATATCTCGGAATCTAAGTGAGGTAGCGAAATTCTTTTCATGACCCTTTTTAAAATCTTCATTTCGCTCTACAAAAAAAGTTACGATAAAAAATTTTCCATTTCTTTTAGATTCCGAGATATTCGTCTAAAACTGACCAGTAGTCAAAACTCACTTGAATCCATGTCTTTTCAACTAGGCGACATTCCAACTAGGACATTTTAACTGCTCAACTTAAATACACATCAGTGAGATGAGATTCCTAGAAAATCTATCTTTAAATCTCTTGAAACGTCAACAATTCAAACAAAATATTTGTGCGGTTACGAATTCACACACCTATCCCCGTTATTCGGTGAGGAACTTTATTACCCTTTCAACTATTGTCACGTAAATTATCGATCTCTTATAATTGTTAATAAAAAAAATATATTGTATCTTTACTCTTTTTGTATGAGATTAATCGATGTATTAGTTCAATAATTAAACTGAGTTGGATTACATTCTTTGTTAAAAAGCAAAGCATTAAAAAAAATGAGAAATTTCAGCTAATTGAAAAAAAAAATTTTACTAAAAATCAGTTCATATGTCGTTGTTCAAATTGATCAGTTCAAATGACACAAGTTGAAATATTGCAGTTAAAATGTCGTAGTTCAAAACTTCAGTTGAAATGTCGTAGTTGAAATCTCGCCTAGTTGAAAAGACGTGCTACCATTCACTTGACCGGGCGCTTCGCTACTGACTTTATTTTTTTTGTAATCAAACAACCCTCCTATGCTCCATATCTCTTGAACGAATTACCGGATTTTGTTTTTCGTCATTCACAGTGATATTCTTACCTCAGTTCGATTTTTATTGCTTATTTGCATAGTTCTCTCATATACTATTTTTCAAAGCATCGTCATTCATGGATCTCCATTCAGAAAACATCTGTAATTTTTGTTATATTCTACAAGGGTTTTACATATATTTGTTGAGGAATTAATATAATATTGTCAAATTGTTGCACGGACAGGGAATGAAATTTTCAGTAGGATGAATGTTACAATTCTAATGATGTGTTTTACCACGAGAGTGACTACTACCGCCACCATCGGGATCAATCTGAATAACATGCTGCGTCACATGATTTTAGGTGTCCCACCAGCCGCTGTTTGGCCATCTTTCATCTATTCTCCATGACACTATACAACGTAGAACACTGTTGGCAATTCCTGCATGCGAAAGTGAGAATTCGAGTTGCACTGCCAACTCAATGGCTTGAGTGTGACCGTTTTCGTTTAGAAGATAATGGAAATGCGAAAAATGTGTATGCCAGTTCGTTGGTATGTGCATATCTTTGTAAATATTGAACGGATTAAATTAATAATTGCATCAGTGGAAAGGGGACTAGTGATTTATATAGTGTAACTAAGGACAGTTTTCGTCTGTGGGCGCATTTTTCATTAATTGATAGAAAATCAGTTGAGGGTAGTGGAAGGGGAAGTCGTGTCGTGTATAAATACTTGGTAGCTCTCGTCGTTTTGCTGTTGTGAGGTTATGAGGCGCGACTTGGCTCGATACGCTACCGCGTATCTCGATATTTCGAGAATATCGTATGTTTTCCTTTAGTAATATGGATGTCATCGCCTTCAAAAAATTGTCCAGTGAAAGTAGTGAAGATCTTCCATGGTAACCATCACAATGATGAGTTTTCGGCATTTTGGTTTCCTGAACCCATTATTTATAGAAATATTTTTAAATGAATCGTCGTGTAATTCCAGCATTTCTGCGTTCACCATTCATTACATAGTCTTTTATGGAATTAATTCTTCATTCCAATCAATTTTCCCCAATGAAAAGTGCAAGGTACAGTTTTCAATCAACTGTACCTTCCAATTTGTCATTTATAATATAAATTTTTCGTTAATGAATCTCCGAATTCAAGGGAAATGAACGTTTTCGTACGGGCACGTTCTTTTTGCAAGGCAAAGTGGGAGCTATGAAATAAACTTTCTGTTCAAAATCGGGCCTGTATTTTGGGTCAACTCGTTTTCATGTCCCATACGGAAATTACCGACCATCGACGAGCACGCACGTAGTCGTGAGAGTGTTCCACGGTGATCAGTACACCATCGACTCTCATCAGGACCGAATCATGGAAACTTATCCGGGCGCACATCGGCGCATTTATCGGGAAACCTATCGGTAAAGTTATCGAATCTCATCATAAATTAGCCGGTCAGTTATCTAAATATTCCGTGTGTGTACAGTCCACTTCCGTAAATCGACTATTAGAAATCCATCGAGTGTATATTTCAGTGCACTAAGTTTTTAAATTGTAAGAATATTTTCCCGGGTTGTTCAACCAGGAAAAATCCAAACTACTCTTTATGCCGTCTCTATCGCTCAATAATCGGGCGTCAGCCGAACCTTCACGGGAGGTTCGACGACAAACCGGCCTCTGAGGCAAACTCGTCCACTCAGAAGACTTTTTGGCTGGACAATGGATTGCCCAGCTAACATCAGCGTGATACGGTAGAGTGGGCGAGGTCCACCAGGAGTATAACCACCACTTCCCCACGGCCTTGGCAAGCCGTGGATTATGCCTTGCGGCATAAGTCCTCTACTGAATTGGATTCATATTTCTTCCGGAGGGTCTTTCGACTTCTCCGGCATGCTTCCTCTTCCCGAGTATTTATACTCGGGAGAGTTTCCGAATTATCTGCGAATCAGCCGGGACTCCTTAGAGCCTGGGACGTTGAGAGGTTGATCTGACCAGGGTGGAACTACGTTACTCACGCTACGACCACCCACACTCTCAACCACCAGTTACCGCTTTGGTCATCGCGCGTCACTGCCTCCGGGTAGTACTAGACCGTCGGCGTATGGTCGGGCCGACAGGATGATTTCTCGACTCCAGGCCCACGGGCTCATACGCCTCGAATCGTTCCGCCGAGATTAGATGACGCCGGACACGACGAAGTCGTCACTTCGCGTTCTGAAATAACTCAGATTTACGCGCGGGGGATGCAGGGACATCCCCCTATATTCGCCGCCAAAGGTTATGCACCACGTTACGTGGAGTAAAACTTCTTACCACCGCTTCTTCAGCCATTCACCGCTCCAGCACACCGAGAGATTTTTCCAACCTCTCGGTTCAAGCGCTCGCGTACGACTAACTCGGAATCTTACTAGGGCCTTGCCTCCTAGTCTGGATATCTCGGCGACGATAGGTCATTCCGTTACCCTATCCCCACCAATCAACCCGACGGGATCACGGAGGTACCAGTCCTTTCACCTGGCCGTTGGTCCCTAGTCTACTCCGACATAGCCGATAGAATTGCCCAGTTGGACAGCCTCTACGTCGACCCCTTTTCCCCTAGCACATGCTGGGCGAATTCTAATATGGCAATAGTCTAGTAACGCCCTCCAGACCTCCAGGGGTCGCGGTTTCACCCATAACCGCTATGCCTTAGGTCTTTCATCGGTTTGTGGCTCTTCTCATCCAGTCGCGGCTCTTTCAGTCGCCTCTAGATGTTACTTCCTCTCTTCACATAATTTCAACAGTTCTCTTTCTTATTTAAGGGGATTTCAACCCGTAACGAGAAAATCTCGTTACAAAATATAGTGACAATTAACGAAACTCATCTTGATTTATTCTCTGGCAATTCATCCCGCTTCTTTTTCACTCCCGACCTCTCTGTCATCCGGATCACACAAGATTCTTAACATTGGTCCTTCGAGCCGGATAGTGGAGTGATAGTGCAGTAGATAATTATCGTGGACAAAGACAGTGCAGTGGAAAATCATCGTGGGTGAAAAAAAACCGACGCCGTGAGTAGCGAGGCTTTTCGGGGTTCACAAACCTGTATCAAGGGAAACCCATAGAGATCGGACATTCAACGCTTCTATAGAGGCAATCAGTTTCATTGCCTTTGTTTATATCGGCAACAGGGGACACTCAACACGAGGAACGGCGTGACGGCATCCCGGAGACTCAACGGTCGACACATGGCCATCCCTCGTAGCACTTCGGCAACCTTTGGAGTCTTCCATATCCAGCCACTCGCAACCGTAGCGGGAGCGCTGCGTCTCCTTCCCAGTCGGTCACTCAACATACCCGGGAGTGGCAACTTATCGGCGGAACGTACCGCGGGCTCGACACTGCAGTCGGTAAATCATCGGCGGATACATCTACGGTCGGTAAGGAAGGACATTCATCATGGAAAGGCAGGCGGAATCGAGACATAGGGGCCCGAGATATTCATCAAGAGCTTCGAGGAAGAAATGGCAGACATGGCCAGCATCTCGCTAGCGCCCAAGCGAGAGAGATGAGAGAGAGAGTGTTCCTGATTCCAGGAACACCAGAGGAGAGCAGCATCATCATCATCAGGGAAATCTTTATCAGATTCAACGTCGACTGGGAGAATTTACGACTCTCTCAGACCCCACAGAACACCATCCCGGCCAGCAACAACCAGGAACCTGTCAACAAGTCATCCGGTCCATCATCGCGCCAAGACGCAGCCTCACAAAGTAAATCATCTGCACGGACACTCATCGAGAGGAAGAGGTCAACGACCTCGCACAATCAGATTGGAGATGCTGGACAATCAGAAAAGTACCAGCTGAGACATTAACCTCATTTAAAACCCATGTACGTTGGAGATCATCGTCAATCAGAGGAGCATCACATCAATCATCAATCAGAACTGTACCAGGTGAATCCGGTGGACACCATCAACGTTGTGGAAGTTCAACGACCTCATCAGAATGCAACTCAACTGGTGATCGTGCCGGCGACGAGGGTGTTCGCCCTTAATCGTCATGGAAATTCAAGACCAACACGGATCCTCATCGACCAAGGCTCAGAGATAACACTAGTCTCTGAAAGTTTGGTCAATCAACTTCATCTGGAGCGGAGGTCATCATCAATTTTCATCGTCGGCATCGGAGAAACCTCATCGGGGAGCACGCGTGGTGTAGTGACTCTCGCCTTACAACCGAGGCACGAACCCGCTACTTAAATCAACATTAACGCCCGCATCCTGAGCAAATTGACGGCGAACATACCGAAATTCACTTGCGAATCAACGATTCCTCATCAACTGCGAGAACTTCAACTGGGAGATCCTCACTTCTTAAAAACTGGGGCCATCGACATCATCATCGGCCCTGACGTCTACGGGAGAATCATCGGACAGAATGATCAGGTTCAAGGAGACGAATCTGATAGCCCAGCAAACCATCTTCGGCTGGACTATTTCGGGGCCAGTCTGCGGCACTGGCTGTGCTCCGAATTCATCATTGAAAGTAACGAAACAGACGGCAAACCAATAACTCTTGGAACTCCTGAAGAAATTTTGGACTCAGGAGGAACTACCGGACACATCATCATCACCTTTAACGAAGGCTGAAGCGGAGTGTGAACAACACTTTATCGAGACTCATCGACGAGATTCGACGGGAACGCTACATTGTGCGTCTCCCGTTTAAATCATCGCCAGCCGCCTTGGGGGATACAGTATCATCGGCCAAGAGACGGTTGCAGAAGTTCATCAGGCGACTGTCATCAGATCCGGACAGTCATACACGCTACAAGAAATTCATCAAGGAGTATGAGTCATTGGACCACATGCAACAAGCATCATCGACGTCGGAGCCGGAACGGGCATATCATTTGTCTCATCACGCAGTGCTTAAACCGCATGACCACAAAATTGAGAGTGGTGTTCGACGCCGCGCATCGAATCTCAACGGGGATGTCATTGAATGACATCTTCCATCCGGGACCTAAACTGTAAATCAACAGCTCCGACGTTCTCATCTGGCTACGTTGGCATCGGTTTGTTTTCAGCACGCACATCGTAAAGATGTTTCGCCAGATCCGGGTACAGCAAGACGACTGGGACCATCAACGAATTCTCTCGACGGACGACAACGGCCAACCCATCGAGTATCAACTGACGACAGTCACCTATGGTACCAGCTGTGCACTCTGGCTTTCGCTACGGGTGCTGAAGCAGTTGAACATCGACGAAGGTCATCGATTTCCACTGGCCTTACCGATATTTATCAACGGACGATATGTCGATGACATATACGGAGCCGCAGAAACGGAGCATCAACTCGAGGAGATCATCAAGCAGCTAATCAACCTCTGCATGGCGGGCGGTATGCCCCTGCAGAAATGGTGCAGCAATGTGCCACACATTTCGAAACGACTCGGGCTCTCATCGGGATCAGCTCCAACCATCGAATTTGAGGAATCAACGGTGAAGGTGCTGGGGCTCTGCTGGCAGCCTGAGGCAGACACCTTTCACTACAAAGCGAGGAACTTCAACCGGGACACCATCACCAAGCGCGTGATCCTGTCCGAGATTGCGCAAATTTACGACCCATTGGGACTCATTGCGCCGGTGATCGTCACGGCAAAGATACTCATCCAAGAGCTGTGGTTGCTCAAATTCAACTGGGACGATCAACTTCCAGTGGCCTTCATGAAATGCTGGCAACACTTCAGGCCAAAACTTCAGCAGCTGAGCAGCCAGTCCTTACCGAGATGGCTCAATTTATCGCTCAACACGACGGACGTTCAACTACACGGTGTCCCGGACGCATCTAATCTGGCGATGGACACATCGGTCTATCTTCGAGCATCATCAGCGACATCGGGAATCACTGTCACCTTGATCTGTGCCAAGAACAAGGTGGCACTACTCCAGAAGATAACCATACCATGGCTGGAGCTAACAGCAGCTCTCCTGGCAACGGAACTTGTGGCCTACGTACAACGAATACTGGAGTTGGAAAACATACAAGTCCTTCTGTGGAGCGACTCATCAGTGGCCATCACCTGGATTAACGGAGATCCATCCCGTTGGAAGGACTTCGTGCAGAACAGGGTTCTGAAAACAAGAGATACTCTGCCTTCTGCCACTTGGAGACATATCAATGGCAAGGAGAATCCGGCGGACTGTCCATCAAGGGATCTATCACCGAAGCAACTGGCGGAGCATCATCTGTGGTGGACAGGACCCTCATGGCTGGTTCTGCCATCGGATCAATGACTAGCCGCATCAATGGATGTATGATCGACAGCGGAGATATCAGAAGCGGCTCGAGAAGCGAGACCGCCAATCAGCAGCTCGCATCCAGTGCAAATCGCCGAGGCGGATGCACTGCTCATCAGATATTCATCGTTAACGAAGCTATTGCGGATCACAGCTTGGATCCATCGCGCCGCAAGACGCTTCCAACAGCAGCCGCCACCGGAATCTCCTCAATTATGACCACCAGAGCTCGAAGAGGCAAGATTGTACTGGGTGAGGTACACTCAACAGCTCTACTTCGAGGCGGAAATCAACACTCTACGGACAGGCAACTCACTGGCAGCAAATCATCGAATGGCGACGCTGACGCCATATCTGGAGGACGGCTTTATGCGCCCGTGTGGACGTTTACGAAAATCAATGTTGGATCCGGAGAAGAAAAATCCAATTATTCTCCCACGTCACTCATCGCTATCACTCTCATCATCGCAGACGCTCATCAACGGAGTTTCCATGGGGGAAGTCAACTAACATTGGTACACATCCAACGGAGGCACTGGATCATCAGTGGACGAGCTCCGATACGCTCGCACATCATAAAGTGCTCAACAGCTGATGGGACAGCTGCTTGCGCGACGAGTGACACCTTCAAGAGTTTTCCTCCACCCAGGAATGGACTTCGCCGGCCCAATCAACGTCCTGAGATAGAGAGGATTAGGGGCAAATAAAACCATCTACAAGGCGTACATCTGTCTGTTTATCTGCTTCGCTACATCAGCAACTCATCTGGAAATGGTAACGGACCTGACAGCGGAGGGCTTCATCGCAGCGTATAAACGCTTCGCTTCAAGACGGGGTATCTGTGCGACCCTGACCAGTGACATGGGACTCAATTTCATTGGGGCAGAGAGGAACTCAGGAATCTCTTCGACCAGGCATCCAGCGAATCGGCTGTCATCAGGGATCGGCTATCATCAGACGGGACACAGTGGATATTCAATCCCCCTCACTCGCCACATCTGGGAGGCAAGTGGGAGGCCGCTGTGAAGTCAACAAAACATCACCTCAGGAGGACCATCACCACCTCGACCTTGACGTACGAAGAATTTACGACTCTTCTGATTCAGGTCGAGGCCATACTCAACTCTCGGCCACTCTGCCCACTCACCAACGACCCGCAAGACACCTCAGCCCTTACACCGGGGCACCTCATCATCGGAGAACCGCTCATGACGGTTCCTGAACCATCACTCCAGCAAATCACCACGGACAGACTCAACAGGTGGCAAATTATCACCCAGAGGATCCAAAACTTCTGGGAGCATTGGGAACGAGAGTGCATTCATCGATATCAGCAAATCTACCGGTGGAGACAGCCAACGAACGAAATCAACATTGGTTCGTTGGTCCTCATCACGGACGAACGGGAGCCACCAGCTAAATGGCCCCTCGCTCGAGTCATCGAAATTCATCCAGGACAGGACAACCTGACAAGAGTTGTCACACTGAGGAAAGGGCATCAGAAAATGCAACGGGCTATTCACAGACTAGTTCCATTGCCCATCAACGCAGACCTACTGGAGGATCAACAGTGAGAACCATCAACTATACTTCGTCACCAGGAGGTGACGCAGGGCGGGCGGGATGTTCAAAATCGGGCCTGTATTTTGGGCCAACTCGTTTTCACGTTCCTTACGGAAATTCCCGACCATCGACAAGCACGCACGTAGTCGTGAGAGTGTTCCACGGTGATCAGTACACCATCGATTCTCATCAGGACCGAATCACTGAAACTTATCCGGGCCTACATCGGCGCATTTATCGGGATACCCATCGGTAAAGTTATCGAACCTCATCGTAAATTATGCCGTCAGTTATCTAAATATTCCGTGTTTGTACAGTTCACTTAGGTAAATCGACCATTTAGTAGAAATCCATCGAGTGTATATTTCAGTGCACTAAGTTCTTAAATATAGTGACAATCAACGAAACTCATCTTGATTTATTCTCCGGCAATTCATCCCACTTAATTTTCCTTCCCGACCTCCCTATCATCAGAATCACACAAGATTCTCAACTTTTTCTAATAAAATTTTCCCAGCTGCCTGGACTTCCACTATATTTTTTGAAAACTGGTCTCCAAGCGCAATTAATCTTTCTCGCTTCATTATACTATGTGAATTTAATAATGATAATGAATTCCAGCTGGCTTTGGTTCAACATCCTTCGGCTTTAGCACTCCAGCCACCTCCATTCCGACGCTTTTCGGCACTCCAGTAACACAATCCACCGGTTTCAGCGCAACCACTGGGTTTGGCCCTCCAGCAGCCACAGGATTTGGTGTTGCAACAAGTAGCACCAACACTTATAGTACCTCAGGGTCGGCTTTCGGTTTTGGAGGTGGTTCAACCTTCGGAACAGCACCATCATCCTCAGCTACAGCATTTGGTACATTAGGAGTCCCGGTCACAACAAGCGCTGTAGGTTTTGCGGGATTTGGGAATTTTGGAGGAACGGCAACAACCACTCAAGCCCCGAGTCTCTTCAGTGGCTTTGGATCAGCCAGCGCAGCATCAACAGGATTCGGAAACACAGGGTTTGGTGGATTTGGAACTAAATCAACAACCACAACAGCAACTACTGTATTTGGGGGCTTCGGAGGGGCTTTAGGGACTTCGACCTTGGGGAATTTTGGTGGGCCATTAGCTCCGCCTCAATTACAGCAACAACATGTATCTAATGCAATCTCTGAGGCTCTGTACAATGCAGTTTTCAATTGTCAATTGTTCAATGATGAGAGAGATAATACAATCGCAAGGTGGAACTTGATTCAAGCTCTTTGGGGTACTGGTAAGGCTTATTACTCTGCAAATGCCATTCCCATTGAGCTCACACAGGAGAATCCTCTTTGCAGGTTCAAGGCTATCGGGTACAGCTGCCTGCCAATTGCCGATAATAATGACGGATTAGTTGTCTTGTGTTTCAATAAGAAAGAGCAGGAGTTAAAGGATGGAAAGCAACAGTTGATTAATTCTATTACTCAAATCCTGGGAAATAAACCCAATTTAACTGTTACTGTTGATAATGTCAAGTCTATTGGAGAGATGAAAAGTCAAGCCGTGATTTATGTATCTGAAAAAGGGGTTACTGGATCTTCACGGAAAATTCCAGCTAATGAGCTTGTCGCGTACTTATCTCAGAGTATTCAAAAGCAACAGTTAACGCAGATGGGGGTGGAGAACATTTTTCCTCAGGTAAAACTGGACCCTTCGCAGCTAAAGGAGTATATGGAAAATCCACCTTGCTCTATCGATCCAAGATTATGGAAGCAAGCGCAGTTGGATAACCCCAATGCTGAGATATATATTCCAGTGCCTATGATCGGGTTCCAGCAGGTAAAGTACAGGTTAAAGTGCCAAGAGAAAGAGACCGATAAGCATCGTGCGTTCTTGGATATGGCTGCAGAAAGGATACAAGGGCTACAGAGACAGCATACGGCCACTCAGGCAAAACTGAAGGAACATAGGCGGACACTTTTGGAATTGCAACATCGGGTTCTTCAGGTACTAATTATTACTTTCTCTCCTCTAAATGAATTAATCTATCTGAATGTTTGGTATATAAAATTAGATAATTTCATCTTGCCTCACGTCGTTATAACATCATTTTCCGTTATTATATAGGGCGGAAGTCAGATCACCCTTTCTAGTTCATACGCTAGGCCACTTTTCTATATGGAATGGCATGTCCGTACAAATTTATGCTATTTTCAATTAGAGATCAAGGGAAAATTTGGAGAAATAATATAAAAACGTTCGTTAATTTGTCATAGATGCGGCATTTCGCGAAATATTTTTTTAGCTTTTTCAGGCTCTGGAAAGAAATTACAAAACAAATAAAAAACCTGTCTACCAAACTCACACTACATAACCTCAAATCAAAGATTAAATGGTTGAAAAATAATACCTTGACGTAATCAACGGTCTATCCGAAATAGTAAATATGTGTGTCATGTGGAAGACATAACTTGCAACTCGACAGCATTCAAAACGTAAATAAATACAGAAACTAATGTATAAATATTGCACAATAACAAAATACGTAGCGGCAGTCTTTCTTTTCTCACTCCAGTGACAACACAACAGCTGACACTCTTCAAGCCATTGACCCCTGGTTCAACTGGGCCTCACACCTCCAAGGCGTCGCCACCTGCCGGGCCAGGATGTGTCGGTATTCTAGGAAACACTGTTAGGCCAGTCAAATAAGGACTTTTATGTCATTGGGCCCGATATACCGCGATTCTAACCTCGCTTCGCCGCTTTCGGGCCAAACGATATAAAATAGCATATATCACACGGCGATAAAAGCATTATCTGGCAAATGTGATTATAATTCTCGCCTTCGGCTCGGATTATAGGACCCCATTCGCTAGATAATACTTTTATCACCTAATGACATAATATACTATTTTTTGGCCGAAATCAAGGATAATAGAAGAAGGATAACAAGCAGGGATTCGAGTCCATCCGACAGAAGGCATGTGATCTTTACTTTTTGCGTTATTAGTCCTTTTCTTTTTTTTATTTCTACCAATTCCATTGGTAGGAAGCTTCCGAATGGATCCATAGCAATTCCCTGTCCTTGTGACAGGTATACAATCGTAACCGCATGCTACAGAATGTCTACAGGAAGATATTCAACCTTTTAATGAAACAGATTTGTACAGCAGGTTCAAAATCTCCGGAACTGCTCGGCCGATTGCGCCTTCTTCCGCATGATATCCCATGGTTTTTATCCTTTTTCTATCATCCTTGATTTCCAAACCGTAATTTGACTGGCCTATGTTTCCCCGCTTATGCTTGAATTTATTGAGAATCCCGCTGGATGGTTTATTCAACCCCTGAGTATCCTCCCGTTTATTTCCGTTGATTCCGTATCGAGAACTTTTACGTCCCCGAACTTAAAATCGTATCCGTCTGCGGAATGGTGAGCTACTAAGGTCGTTTTTTCCTCTTTCAAGTTTTTCTCTTTCTAAGAGAACTTAGAATTTAGAGAGAAAAAATTTCCGCTTCACCCACCCGGGACGCGAACCCGGGTCTCTCAGATACGCGCCAGGAACTCTTACCGAGTAAGCTACCGGGAACCACAGAAATTCACCCTAAAATTCACCTCAAACACCGCCTAACCTCCTTTAGCTATTAAAGAACTCTAAGAGAATTTAGAATTTAGAGAGAAAAATTTAGAGAAAAAAAAGTTAGGTTCATACTCTTACCTTTTGATTAAAATATTGAATTGCAGCTCCATTTTGACGGGAAATATTCGAAATAAGGGAATTTTGTTTAGAGATAGGATTTTAGTTAGGAATATTCACGAAACAAGAAATCTAGAATTATATTGGCAATTAAATTCGATTTTCATTATTTTGAGAACTACGCAATTTACAAAAGCATAAGAGTCTGCATTTTACAAAAGTTTATATGTAGTTAATTCGAAATTCCTACCCCTGGCATGATCTGAAGGATCTGATTCTAATTGTTTCACAAAATGTGATAACAGTTCGGTTTTATTTATGTATTAATTTTTTTATACGGATCCTGGGTTGAATTCGCAATTTCCTCACCAACAACTAGATTCACTAGAGGCTGTCATGTATACTCTCACAAAAACACTTTCTTCCATTCGTATAGTTTATTTTGAGTTCGAAATATTTGACAGGACAATTGAAGTTAATAGTTTTGGCTGAGACTGTCCACAACGCTTCGCAATAGTTCTAATTCTTTAAATGCAAGAAAAATCACCCCTCTCGGTTAAGGAACTTTGATTCCCGGATAATTTGAATTGTTCGTAGCCTACTATTAATTCGGCAACTATTCAGCGTAATTTTGATACTGCGGATTATTGTATTGTATTGAAGGATTGAAAAATCCGCCGATTAAGTGAATTATTCCGACCTGAACTATTCCTGCTCCGTCGTTGCTTCAAGACTGATTAATTTTGATTTTTCTGGAGTTTTTATTGGTTTTTACGAGCCACTTGACTCGTGAGGACTCCAAAGAGTCAATTTTTAATTGGGAGAAAATGTCGTATGATTTTTCCCACTTTTAAATCGTCTTCAGGAAAGTAGTTCACTCGGTTTTTGGGGTTTTTGTTTTATTGTTTTTCAACCATTCCTCCATCGGCGAATTTCGATATTGAGAAACGGGGGCATGTAGAGTGAGACACTTCATCACTGATGCTCTCAATTCCATTGTTTTTGGATTTGTTGAGTTCAAGTGATGAAATGTTTCATCAATTATTTGACTTATTAATTTGCATTATGTTTATATATATTATTTTTCATTTAATTTTCCTATAAAAATTCTGGACGTCACACATAGGTAGCAGTCGTGAGAGATTAGCGAATTAACTTGATAACGGTCATTAAGAAATAACAAGAAAATATCAACCTGATTCTACTGAATTCAATCTGTTGAGTAAAAGGGGGTATTTCCCTTTGAATATATGTGGACGTCCACATGGAAAAGGATTCTAGTTTCCGAGATATTCACGTTTTTGTCTCAGCAACTGCACCATTTGCACCAATGTTAAATTTATTTTCCATCTTCTCCAACGACGTCATTTTTGACCCCATGAAGATAATTTTAAGCTCAAAATGTGCGAAATGTTATCAATATTATCAGAGTATATATAACATTATATCGACAAAGTGGTCCCTTTTCATGTGGACGTCTACATGTGGATGAAACCGAATTGCCAGGAAAAGAAGGGTTTCACTCTTAATTGACTGATGAGCAGATATCTGATGAAGATGATCAACATGCTCTTAATGTTTGGAGTGAATTCAATATCAAAACCTTGAGGGAGTTTTCAGATCTCTACCTACACACTGATCTCTTATTGTTAGTTGTGACTTTCAAAATTTTCCGTCGTAATTGCCTTTCTACTTATGAATTACACCGTTTGCATTATTATACAACACGTAGATTAGCCTTTGATGCTATGCGGAAATATACAGAAGTGAATTTAGGGCTTTTTTCAGATCTAGAAATGATATTATTCATTGAAAAAGGCATTAGAGGTGGAATATCACAATGTTCAAACAGATATGCCCATGCTAATAATCCATTCATGGGTGAAAAATATTATGATCTCTCGTCAGAAAATCATTTTTGATGTATTATGATGTGATTCATTTGAATGGGTTGCTACTGGTTCTGTAGACATGTTAATTGCTGCAGATGATTCTCCAGTCGGATATATTTTTGAAGTCGATTTGGAATATCGTCAATTGCATGAACTATAAAAAGGTTTTCCGCTCTGTCCCGAATATTTCATTCCTCCAGAGAGCAAACATACTAAATTAGCGACCACTCTAAACTTGAAGCAATACACAGCTCTTGGTATAAAACTAAAGCATATTCATCGTGTCTTGAAATTCAATCAGAAGCCCTGGTTGGCATCTTACATTGATCTGAGTACTATGAAAAGACAACAGTCAAAAAATGAATTCGAAAAGAACTTTGATAATTTGATGAATAATTCTGTATTCGGAAAAACTATAAAAAAATGCTAGAAAACAGAAAGATATTAAGCTCTTCACACATTGGAGTGGACGATATGGAGCAAAAGCATTGATAGCAAAACCCAATTTCCATAGCTGTATGGTGTTTGATGATGATGAATGAATGGAACATCCGTATATTTCAAGAAACCTATCCACATTGGATTTATGATCCTCGATTTAGCAAAAACGATTATATATTACTTCTATCAGAACTACGTTAAGTATAAATTTGGGGATTCAGCAAAACTCATATATACCGATAGAGATAGCTTACTCCATGTGTTTCAAGTACCAAATATCTATGAGTCTATAAAACAAGACATAAACATGTTCGATACATCTGACTATAAAGGGAATAATGAGTATAGAATACCGTTCGCAAACAAGAAAGTATTAGGACTCATGAAGGATGAGAATAATGATCGAATCACGGTTGAATTTGTAGGTTTACGAGCCAAAACATACGCATTTAGGATGTTGACTGATGAGAAAGCTAAGAAGAAACCTGAAGGTGTTAAACCTGCTACACTCAGGAAAAGCACAGTCAATGATTATATTTGGTAATGAGCACATTATCAGGAATAAGTATTGAATCCAGAGCAAAAAACATGAGGTGCACACAATCTGCTAGCAGAAGATGGTTTTGAGTTGGAAAGATGATAAACGTATAATTTCACTCCATACAACAGATACTCTACCTTGGGGTTATTTCGAACCACTTGTGTAATTATATATATATATTCTCAAATTGTTTCTCATAATAATAATAGTAATGGTAATAACGTACACATTTGAATAAATGAATAAACTTTTTCAATATTTAACAAAGCGTTTTTTTGTTTTATGTATGCTTGTTTTCTTACAATTATCATACAGTTATCTTAAATATATTCCGTCGATATTCTTCTGATAATATAGCATTCAATATTCTTTCATGAAAACTTATTCAATGTTTAAGATCATGATTTCCAGCAATTTTCTTCCGTGAGACACTACATC